CGTAGTAATGGCAGAGAATATGCGTACCCAGATATGGCGAGCTTGGTAGACCAGGCTCGCCTGGCCAAATGAGTTGCCTAAGCTGGAACTGCCGGGGATTGGGTGGCACCCGGTCAGTTCGTGAACTCTTGGGCCTTGTGTCCAAGGAGCGACCCCAATTCGTTTTCTTGATGGAAACGAAAGCGGAAGAATCGAAGATGGAACAGGTACGTGTTCAGTTGGGTTTTGAAGGAATGTTCTGTGTGGAACGGGTAGGCCTCGGGGGAGGTCTTGCGTTCTATTGGCGTGATACTCAGGCGGCTTCTCTGCTGAGCTACTCTCTGAATCATATTGATATGGAGATTAACCTTCCGGGACGGCCTGCGTGGAGGTTGACTGGTTTTTATGGGGAGTCTGAAAGATCGAGGCGGCATATAAACTGGGATCGGCTACGACAGATCAAAGGCGAATCGGCTTTGCCTTGGATGGTTGTGGGGGACTTCAACGACATCACATGTCTTTCGGAAAAGCGTGGCAGCCATTCGCATCCAACTTCTCTAATCGAGGGGTTTAATGATGCTTTGGGCGATTGTGAGCTCACGGACCTGGGTATGATTGGTAGTCGCTTTACCTGGGAGAAAAGTAGAGGAACGGACTCTTGGGTTGAAGAACGCCTGGATAGAGCAGTGGCAACAACTAGTTGGATGGATTTGCACGAGGAGGCGGAGGTTCGAAGCATCTATATGCAATCTTCGGATCACTGTGCTCTTATCGTCAACTTGGAAACTAGACAATTCCGTGCTGCCTTCCAATCCTTTAAATTCGAAGCAGCATGGCTACTGGAGGCAGGTTGCGCGAAGGTGGTTGATGAGGCCTGGAGACTTTCTGCTGGCCGCGATTTCCCGGAGCGCATTGCTTTATGCGATGAGCGACTCAAACAATGGGGTGGTGATCATCATAGCAGGTTTGGGGGTCGTATTAAAGCACCACGCCGTATTCTATCCAGATTCAAGGAGGACCGTACGCCTCATGGTGTACAGCAATTCGGGACTGCCGAAGCTGAATTGGATGTGTTGTTACAAGCCGAAGAGGTTTTTTGGCGTCAACGTTCAAAGCAACTGTGGCTTAAGCACGGGGATGCAAACACCAAATACTTCCATAAATCTGCTACGGCTCGGCGCAAACGAAATATGCTCCTACGTGTTAAGGATCAAAATGGTGCCTGGAGGGAGGGCCCGGCAATGAACGAAGAAATTCTCAGGTACTATGAATCCATCTTTTGCTCCGGTATTTATGGCGATGATCTGTTTTCTCGGGTCTGTTCCCGAGTCACAGACGAGATGAACGTCTCCCTTGTAGCTCCTTTCACTATCATTGAGGTGAAAGAAGCTCTGTTTGCTATGGCCCCGGAGAAAGCACCAGGACCAGACGGCATGTCCCCGGGCTTTTTTCAGCATTTTTGGCCGGTGTTGGGACATGACTTGGTTGTCTTTATTTTTAAATGTGTGGAAAACAAGAGTTTCCCTGAGGGATTGAACGATGCAAACATCGTTTTAATCCCAAAAAAACCGGTGCCGGAGAGAGTCGCTGATTTGCGCCCCATTGCACTTTGTAACGTGGCTTACAAAGTGCTGGCCAAAATGGTTGCGAACAGGTTGATGGTTTGCCTCGAAAAGGTTGTGTCCCAATCTCAGAGTGCCTTCGTACCTGACCGGTTACTGACAGATAATATTATTGTGGCCAGCGAAATTGGGCACTTTCTGAGACGTAAAACTGGGGGCCTGGTTGGTTGGGCGGCGCTCAAGCTTGACATGCCCAAGGCGTATGATAGGATGGAATGGGCATTCCTAAAGGGTATGTTGTGTGCGTTGGGCTTCGACAGGGGTTGGGTGGATTTGGTTATGACTTGCGTCATGACCGTTCGGTACTCTGTCTTAGTCAATGGGATGCCAGTGGGGCAGGTGTGCCCTTCTCGGGGGATTCGACAGGGGGACCCGCTGTCCCCGTATCTTTTTATCATATGTGCCGAAGGTTTTTCTGTCCTGTTACAACAAGCAGAAGCCAGAGGGGATATTCATGGAGTGAGGGTGGCCCGGGGGGCTCCGTCCATCTCTCACTTGTTTTTCGCTGACGATAGTTTACTCTTTTTCAGGGCTACCCAACAGGAAGCATTGCATATTAAGCAATGCTTGGACAATTACAATATGGCGTCAGGGCAATTGATTAACTTTGATAAATCAAGTGCAGTCTACAGCCATAACACATCGGTCCAAGTGAGGGCTATGGTCTCGGGTATCATCGGGGTCCGTGAGTCGATGGACCTGGGACGGTACTTGGGCTTTCCATCAACGCTTGGGCGCAACAAAACAGCTGTTTTCCGTTATATTGAGGAGAACATTCGTGGTCGCATTGGGGCCTGGCAGCATCGTTTCTTATCGCGTGCGGGTAAGGAAGTGTTGCTCAAAAGTATAGCCCAATCCCTCCCAATTTTCACCATGTCCGTCTTTTTGTTGCCACGTCGTGTCTGTGACACCCTTGAGAAGATGTTTAATCGCTACTGGTGGGGTGGCGGCGGCTCCGGGAGCCGTGGAATCCATTGGTTTAGTTGGGACAAATTGTGCAGGCCTAAGTCAAAAGGTGGACTAGGCTTTAAACAACTGCACGAGTTTAACTTGGCTCTATTAGCCAAGCAGGGATGGAGATTATTGATTAATCCTAATTCACTTGTTTGCCGTCTGCTTAAAGCCCGGTATTTTCCTCATACTGATTTTATGGGAGCCCAGATAGGCACCAATCCGAGCTTTGTCTGGCGAAGCATCCTAGCTGGAAAGTGAGTCCTCCAGCTGGGGGTTGCCCGTCGAATTGGTGATGGCTCGAGCACCTCGATTTGGGGTTGGAACTGGCTTTCGGACACCACACATCAGCCTCTGCAAACCCCCTACATTCCACAGCTAGGCATTGCCAAAGTCCGAGGCCTTCTCACGGATCGTGGGGTTTGGGACGAGGACGTGATCCGAGATATCTTTTTACCTGCCGATGTGGCCCGCATACTAGCCACACCGGTGAACGTTCAGCTGCAGGACTGTTGGAGGTGGATTGGGGATATACGGGGGTGTTATACTGTTAAACATGGCTACCGGTTGTTGACGGAACATGCGGAACAACCTGCGATGCCTGGAGGTTTTCAGGGTTGGAAATCTCTTTGGTCGCTAAGTGTACCACCTAAGGTAAAGAATTTTTTATGGAGATGTGCTCGGGATATTCTACCAGTCCGGGATAATCTGAGAAAGAAGCAAGTGTGGATTGGTGGTGGTTGCCCTCTTTGTGGGATGGTGACGGAAACTATAGAGCATCTTTTTTGCTCCTGCAGGTTTGCGTTAAGTGTTTGGGATACAGGAGATGTACTGTTTGGGAGGCATCTACCGGAGTTCATGGACTCTATGTTCCGCATCCACACAGCAGATATGGGAGTAAGAATGGCAGCTATCTTCTGGGTGGTGTGGCAGTCTCGCAACGCCGCAGTGTGGGAAAATAAATCGCCGAATGTCATGGCAGCGCGTGAGCAGGTACGATATCTACAGAGGCTGTGGAAGGAGACTTATACGGCTCTGGAGCGGTCGGCTGGAGGCTCGACAGCCACTGTGAGCTGGGCGCCCCCCCCCCCCCCCCCCCCCCTCGATTGCGTCTGTCAAATGTAATATCGACGCAGCTTTGTTTGGGGATATAGCGGGGTATGGAGCCGTTGTCCGGGAGCACGGTAGGAGGTTCCTTTCGGCAAAAAGCGGGCGCTTGGGAGGTGTTGGAGATCCTTTTGTGGCGGAGGCGCTGGCAGCTAAGGAGGCTCTTTCGTGGCTTAAAGGCCAAGGCTTTGACAATATTGTTCTTGAATCAGACTGTTTGAATTTTTGTAACGCTTTCAATTCTTGCAATGTTGATTTTTCTTATGTAGGAGCTATTGTTAAGCAATGTCGTGCTATTGCTAAGACCATGGGGAACGTCTGTGTTTCTCATGTTAGGAGATCAGCGAATCGTGTAGCTCATGTGCTAGCTAGGGCAACCGGTTCTGTGGCTGGCTCAGGTGTGTGAGTTACCAACCCACCTGATTGTATCGTTGGTTTATTGAATGTTGAATGAAGATCTGTTTGTTTTGCTTCAAAAAAAAGTAATAACTCATAAATCAAAAAAGAAATCCTTTAAGAAAAATTACAAAAATTGTATAATATCTCTATTTTACCAGGCCCAAATATTATAAAAAGAGATGTAAAAGCAAGGGTATAAGAAACACATAAGAAATAACTTGCATCTATAATTTTTTTATTTTTCATTTTTTAAAAAGGACACTTAGTCAGTGAGTGTCTTGCTAAAAATAAAGTTCAAGAAATTTGCAGTGAACTAGGAATACCAGGAATTCATCAAATTTTAAACAAAATTAACCAAATTAATTTTTCTTAAGATTGAAATACCGAAAACAATGATGATTATATTATATTTGACGGTATACTTATATTTGGTAGGCACCCGACCCAGAATCACTTGAAGAAACCAAGGGTCACGTAACGGAGACATTTACTCCACCGACCTATTCAAGAGGGAGTAATTATGGTGAAGATCATACCCAATGTAGGTTCGTCTCTTCATTGCTATGAAACCGTTATTTGAGCATAAAGACGTTGCAGACATTAGTATAAATAGGAAACCTTTCAATAGGCAAGGACGGGTTCTAATTCTTATACCATACTCAACACTCTAAGCAATAACAACTTTGATTACTTTCTAAATACATAGTATCTGGTAACTTATTTACCGTCATTAATATTCAAGAATTAGATGAATCATTCCCATTCTGCTCTCTTAACCATGCTGCAAACGGACGAGATCTACTCACGTCTAACCTTGTAACTACCCTACTTGTCCTGATATAATAAATACCAAATTAAATGCTTAATAAATATAATATAATACTACGTATATTAAAGAAGCTTGGCATGCTAAAGATGTAAAGTATGAAACCTAATTGATTACCTTAAGCTCCCATAGCGATGAACACGGGGAGGTGTTGTATAATCAGGCTTGAAAGGCTGCAGTGAAACAAATAAAAGCAAGTAAAAAAGAGAAAATTTTATTAAACACCAATCCACCTCGAATTAAAACTTTAAAATGGGTATTCTTTGGGCTTCAAGTAATAGAAAGTGTTAACAATAATCTCTATTAGATTTACAATGATACATTTGGACTGAAGACGTGAACAAAAGCAAAAAAGAGTTTAATTTTGATGTGAATGGAAATTAGTCTGAGCATGCTCAAAGTATTTCTTATAAACTATAATTAGACCTTACTCGGGACATCTCATTATCTAACAAAAACAGAACTTAGTTACCTGGTGACGAATCTCACACACAGTGTCACCTTTCTCATTGCACCACCTTTGCACACATGCCCTATGTGCGTACTGAAACCGCCCAAAACAAAAACAATCTAATTAAGAATAATGTGTCGAATTCAGAATTATCTATATATATTGATTATTTTATGGGTACTTGAAACACTAGATCCTTATGAAAGCTAATTAAGCACTCAGAGATAAAGTAGTAGTCGAAATTCCAAAATCTTCTCCTATTTGAATACATTAAAACAGTAGACTATGATAAGTTGGTGTTAGGATCAAAATCTATTTTTAATAGTGGATATACAGTTTTATTTCTTTATACCGTAACACATTTTCAAGATTCAGAGTGTTGGACTTATCTTTTATCGGCCATTAGTCGCCTTAGCCCAACAGTTGGGGAAAATAAATTAAACACGCTCAAGAAAGTTCATAGAGTACATGATATAGTCGAGTGAAATTGAAAATTTTAGATTTTATTTTTAAAAAAAAATGAAAAAAGCTCACAAACCTTCAATTCAAGGTACCACGGCAAGAGCAAGGAGTCTCCATATTCTGCACTCTACCATCTTGCTTGAAGCCATATCTGCAGTTTTCGATTCCTTGGAGAAAGCAGAAAGACCAAAGAATGAAGCAAACCCAGGGGCCAAAGAATGATCTTTAGAATGAAAATTAAGTTATAAGTCCATAACAAACAAAGAATTAACTCAATGAAGATGGAATTTATTAGAATATACACAGAAGAACTGGAAAGAAATTAAGACTTACAAAAACTCCCTTCTCTTCTTCAGAGAAATCTCTGTTTGGGAACGAATCAAAAGAATCCATCACTGCTATTATACCAGTACTCCAGATTTCGTGTATAAAATACAGATTATATATATACACAGTTGGTTCGTGTAGGTTACAGTTTGTTTTGGCAATTGACCACCTCGACCCCTTCAAATGTGTCTAAATTATTAAAATATACTCCGTAATAAATTCATTTTCAAAAAAAAAAAAATACTCCGTAATAAATTCAATCCGTCACAAGTTACATGTAACATTATTTACTTCAGACTTAAGAAATTACATTTAAAGATTAAAAAAAAAAAAGGTTTGAAGATTAAAAATGAGACTATCCCATAAAGGAAATTCTTTGATTACATGTATTATTATACCTCTTTTAATTTCTCACAAGTGAATGAAGTGGTAGCTATAACTATGTGTATTTGAGGAAAATTTTAATTTTGGTTCTATGACTATAGGGGTGTTGTTAATTTCAGTCCCCGACTTTTAAAAGTGTCAATTTAGTATACCTTGACTATGCAATTTTTGTCAATTTTGGTCACTCCGACCAAATTTCGCTGGAAAACTTTTATAGTTAAAATAATGAGGGTATTTTAGTCTTTTTACATCTATTTTATTTCTCCCCCATTTCGCCATCTTCTCCGACGAGAGCGGGGTGTGTGCTCTGTTGTCGACAGTCGACAAAACACCAAACTCCAGACCATCGAAGAAGTCAGAATCAACGGAAACGTGGAAATGGGTCGCCGACTTATGGTCAAGTTGACCGGTTGCATGGCAGTGTCAGTGAGGGCGTAGTGGTTGAAGTGTCCTACGACGTCGTCGAGCATGATATCATCGTCCAAGTCTGCAAACTGGAAGAAGGTGTCTCGGACTGGGTCCGATGGTGGCCAGGTCGCGATTGGACCCTCTAGAAACCGAGGTCGGTGAATGTCTTCTCCGCCGAAATTTTCAGTAGATCCGGTGAAAAAATGGGGGAGAAAGAAATGAGAGGTAAAATGACTAAAATACCTCATTATTTTAACTATAAAAATTTTCTGACGAAATTTGGCCGGCAATTTGGTCAGAGTGACCAAAATTGACAAAAATTACATAGTCAAGGTTTTATTTTATTTTATTTTCGATATCCAATTAGATTTTATTTTTATTATACTTATATTGAAGTTCAAGGATATTGATTGATCACCATGTCCTTAATTAGGTGTACTGATGAAAAACAATAAACAATATCCAATATTTTGGGTCAAAGATTAACAAAATTTATATGAAAATTTGTAATCTTCTTTAATAAAAGAATGAAAAATCACACTTTTTTTTTTGAATGCTACTAGCTCTATTACATTGTAGTATATGTTCATATACTTTCTCAACCTACTGAAACACAGAGAGCTAATAACGCCTCCACCGAGGCTCGAACTTACAACCTTCCAAATGGAAGTCCAACCCGAATACCATTAGACCACATAGTCCTGGTAATGAAAAATCACACTTATTTTAAATTATTTTCAATTTTAAAATGTGCTAGTCCTTCGATTCTTATGGAAACAAATATGATTTGTTAAATTTTTGCTCAAGTTGTCAATTTGATTACATTGTCAATTATTATAGCATGGATTATAGTTCATCTTGTAAGGTGAATCACTAATATAAGGAACATTTTTATTATACTGAAAATATATTTTTAATACACTAAAAGTTTATTTTTTTTTAAATGTACATTATTTGTTATATTACAAAATAATGAATCTTAAGTATACAAATAATTTATATTTAATATATTGAAAATGTACTTTCTCAAAAAAAATATATATTAAAAATGTACTTTTATTCATGATCCACAAATGTGACAATCGTTATATCGTGCATCACGGCGCATAATGCATCATGCGCCCTGGCCCAAAACGACGTTGTTTTTATAAGGCGTGTGGAGAGTTAATGCGATGGACACCGTTCCGTCCGTCCAATCTCGTTACAGTTTTTTTTTTAATAATCGTGTTTATGTGTATTATATTAAGAGTTTATGTGTATTATGTATTATGTATTATGTTAGATTATGTGTATTATGTTAGAAGTTTATGTGTATTCTACTATACAATTCTATAATCCGAAACAGAGAATTTTTTTAATTTTAGAAGTTAACGGCAGAAACGAGAAACGACGTCGTTTTGGCCAGAGTGTACAATAAATTATGCATCCCCATGCATGATATAATTTGCCCAAATGTAAATCATAATCCACAATATAATTCACCTTAGATTGTGAGATGGGCATATGGGCCAATTGAAAAAGAAGGACCCATTTAAAAAAAAAAAAAAAAGGAATTACAATTCAAGATGACTAAAAATGTAATCATACTATAAAGAAAACTATTTAATTTCATTTATTATTACACCTCTTTAATTTTAACGCAAGTGGTATGTATAATTATGCAATCATTGTAAGATGCACCTAATATAGGTTTTTTTTTGTTTTGTTTTGTTTTGTTTTTTTTTTTTTTTTTGTTTATTATAAGTTTATTTTTAATTAAGAAACTTAATAATCAAACTATTGGGTCATTTGTGAAAGTTAGGTACATTTTAATTTCTAGAAATGATATGTATAATATAATTATGTGCATTTTTTTTTTTTAATTCTAGTGACTCTATTACATTGTAATATATATTCAAACATACTTTCTTAACCTATTGAAACACAAAGAGTCAACAATGCCTCCACTGAGATTTGATCTTATGACCTCTCATATGAAAAATATCACTATATGTCATCTGAACACAAATTACTTGACTAATTATGTGTGCATCTATTTATAGGATGATAATGTATTTGGGGGTGGGTCTAGGATGACTACATGCATCCACCACCCAACTCACCTTTATACTTCCTCCACTCATCCCTACTCTTGACCCACAAAGGGTGGATATTTTTAAAATCCACTTAATGAATCTCAATACCGACGCCTTATTATCTTTTTAAAAATTTTCAGAAATTAATAATAAAATTTAAATTTTTTAATGATAATAAAATAACAAATTTTGTTGAGAGACAAAAAAGTTACATGTTGATATACTTGGGCTAATTAAATCCAGAGAAACCTTGGATTACACAAAAGAGAAGAGAAGCTCGACGGCATTATAGTCTCTAAGGCATGGATCGATATGTTTAGGGAGGACAAAACAATATTGAATAATGCTACACGCAAAATAAATAAATAAATAAATAAATAATATATATATATATATATATATATATATATATATATATATATATATATATATATATATATATATATATATATATATTGGTTCGTGCGAGAACATGTCTTCCCGTGCAGTCAGTGCGGCTTACACTATTAGCTATGCATAAATGCACCAGTGTTCGAGAATACACCAGAATGAAATGCCAAAAAATGCACCACATAAAATAATAATAATAATACACCATGGTGTATTTTCGAATACTGTGTGGTGCATTTATGCATACCCTATATATATATATATATATATATATATATATATATATATATATATATATATATATGGGTGTGTGTGTGTGTCACTCTGTCCTTTAATTTGGACTTTCGCATTCTCTGATCTTTTAAGAAATTAAAGGATGGGACGGGAGCTTCAAACCATGCATAAACAAGCTAGGATGGCATGCATGTTCTTTTAAGAAAATTAAATTCAAGAAATTTGTATCCAAGTAGCTAGGAATACAAGGAATTGATCTGATTTAAAACAAAATTGACCAAATTAAGTCTTCTTAAGATTGAAATATAGAAAACAATATATAATGATGATTATATATATATATATATATATATATATATATATATATATATATATATATATATTCAAGAATTAGATGATGAATCATTCCCATTTTGCTGCTCTACCTCTTATCCGCGCGGTA